TGTAATCAGTTCAAATGTCAATTCAATTCATGTTCTTATTGCACTAGATAAACTGTGAAGTCCAAGGCATAAAAATGAACCAATATCGAGCCAGTTCTCCATTCATAACACAATAGTTTGATTTTTTTTTATATTCAGATTACATACGTAAGGCGCAAGTTATTTAATCTCTCAATCTATTTGAATCTTTTCAATGCTAATAGTGCACGCTTGCTTACAAGATAATCTCTTTACCTATTTCTATGACTGATAAGATTTGAGGTAGACAAGAGTTAAATGATTATTTAACTTACATTCCATTTGTTCATTGAACCGACTTTTTGAGATCACAACACTATATTGCATTTAACCTAATCAAATATGCACCAATTGGCTAGGGTTTTTATTTGATCATGTTGACAATTTTAACTCGTTGAACTGACATGTAGCTTATGTGAAAGAACTATACCAAGGCAACGAGATGGTAGGCTAATTAAAAAAGAAATTGGGAGATTCACTATTATACCCAATATATATACGGGCTCAAATAAGGCTACCTTGAGTCTCTCCATTTACTATAACAATGTTGATTGTGTAGGGGTCTTTTTGTTCCAGCAGCCTGACGAATGGGCTTGGGCTGCTGTAAGAGGAAGACAAACGAAACTCCCTGATGCCTGAGTTCAAGAACCAGGCTCCCAAAAGAATTTTAAAAGGCTTGCTAAAACCTTAGAAAACACTTTTAGGTTCTTTTCACCAATAACCAAATAAACGTGACAAATTAGCAAGGGAGTGGCTTGGCTTGAGGAGCTTGTGGCATGGGAGCTAAGCCTTCACAAGTTTAGCAATTTGAGAGAGAGAGAGAGAGAGACAAGAGTGTGGAATTCTTATAGAGAGAAAAGACTCAGAATGGGGAAGGAGGAAAATGAGGAGGATTGCTATCTCAGAAAGGGGGAAAACGGTGGAAGTAGAAAAACAGGGTGTCTAGAGTAAATTTCCAGTCGCTTGACAAAGCTTGGTCGCGCTCTGGGAGGTGATTTTCTGGGTAGAGGAAGCTCCTTTTTATAGGCATTTAGAACCTTAATTCCATCGATCCTCCATTCCCACTTTTTCTTTGCCCTTTTCCATTCACTCCCTTTTGGTGAAATTTCTTCAACCAGAGTGTATGGGTCACAGGCTCTTTGGGGTTCCAACGTTTTTTGAGCGGCTGGACCTCCCCATGGGGGTGAGGCGCCACCTGCTTTCCTTCTTGGTTTTCAAAATGGAGCTTACAAAGGAAAAGAGAATGGGTAGACTCATTTGTCCAAGGGGTACTCTTCTCACATATATGGATTTCCTTTGGTCCCTGCTATGGTTCCTCGTTGACCATCTTGGAGTTCTGACGAGGGTGGAACAAGATGCTAGATTTTCACAAAGCGCTGGGCTGGGCTTTGTGTACAGTATTGGGTTATTGGCATGCTACTTCCAGCATCCAATGGGTTTTCGTCAAGCTGCTGGAAATAGCCTATTTGTTTTATTTTGGGTATTTTACTGATGTGGGTTTGTCTAAGTGTTGCAGCAGACTAGATATTCTCCTAAGGCATTGGATTAATTTTCTCCCTCTCTCATGCCAACCCATGTGTTTGGGCCGGAGGAACGGGCTTGAGTTTTAATGCTCCCAAGTGGCTTAAAACTTTCGTTCTTTGAACCCTCAATGGGCCCTGTGATTGCTTGTTCCCGTCCATACCACAACCGTCTCAGCAAGCCCCGGGTGATTATGTGGCTTGGGCCCACTTAAGCTTATAGCACGGCATGGTATTAGATTAACTGTCCTTTACATGGTGTTACGTGTTTATTCATCATGCTTGTGCTTGGCTTCCATCATGCCACAATAAGCTATGATCGAGTCATGTAGTATTGGATAAGTTAGTAGGCGTGAATTTATAGAGCCGGTGCGTTTTGGTCCCCTTTGCTTGGCGGGCATTCATGTTTGCTTGGCGTAACACGTGGCTCATGGCTCGCGCAAATGCATCTTGCACGTTCCCTTATGTCCCAATTGGGCTCCTCTTGCAATCCAATCTTTGTCTTGGACTAGGAATAAACTCGGGCCCAACCCCCTGGATTTTTGGGTCTCAAAAGATTGTAAGTAGCGAACCTCTTGAACTAATGAAAAACTTGAATTTTTTTTTCATATAGAAAGGTTTTCACATATTTTTTTTATAGCTAACATGTATTTCGAAATGAGAAAAGACGGGTTTTAAAATTGAACTAAAATAAGAAAAAGAAATCATGTTGAAAAACAACCCTTACCTCTTTCCCGTAATGTTGGCAACGAGCTTATAACTCAAGTGGTTAAAAGCATAGTTATCCCTGAACCAAAGGTCATGTGTTCTAATCACCCTTTCCCATTATCGCTTGTATAAAAAAAAATGTTGGACATCATTGTTTCTCTTATCCCTTGTTGTTTTTCCTAAAATTCAAATTTTGGCATAAATGGTGTTTAATTAATTGAATCTAAAAAGGAAAACAATAATAAAGAAGGAAATGTGTATAAACTTGGAAAGACATGCGTACGGATAATTTTAGACATGTCAATGAATTGGATTCTAATTTGAATATGATGCAATTTTTTTGATCAAATTGAAACTTCATTAGATAACAATACTAAAAACAAACCGCACTACAATAATTTGAATATGATGCAGTTAATGGGATGTGAATTGAAATTCTCAATCAATAATTCGGTGATGATTTGAATATGATAACTCATAACTTAACAAATCAAATATACATTAGAGGTGATTCAATCGATTAATTATCTTATTCTACTTAATATAATATAAACTTAATTTTAGTATTATGTTTACAAATGACTTATATGAGTAGGAACAATCTGAGTTTTTCGTGCATTGAAAATATTCTTAAATAACCTTCGTTGTTTAAAAAATTAAGGGGGTAAACTTCACTTACTATGCTCACACAGATTATTCATTAGTATATACAAGGTCCAAAACTCATCAAAGTAGTATCTAGAATTACGTGATGTGATGTATCTAGAATTTCATTAGATAAATTTTAACAGTACAATCAAAGACATTAATATGACATCTAAAGTACCAATTCCAAGAGGAAAACAAACTAACATGTTAAAAACAAAACTAAAGTGGACATAATCCGCACTAAAACTACTACCCCACATCACCACAATTAACCATAAATCCAAACAAAGTTTACATACCCAATACAACCCTAAAGCAACCCATGAGCCTAAACAAACCCCACCACCACCAACTAAAGAAGCGCCGTCGCAGCCACACTCACCACCGCATCCATAACATATTTGGAGAAAATATGATTTCTAGCGATCTACCTGCACATAAGAGCAAACAAATAAATGAAAACAACTACCTTGACAAAGAACAAATGGGTGTTTTACATCAACCTCCATCGAAGATGATGTAGATTCAAGTTTAGAGAGAACATGAGTAGTGTTAGAGAGCGGGTTTTGGGAGAAGGATTTGTTTGAGAATGCCTCAAAGTGATGATGGAGAACTTTAATCTGAATATGGCTCAGAATAAAGGGCTTCTTACTCAAAATGCCTAGTGAACTTATTTACTAACCCAAAAGAAAAAAAGCAAGAAGAGAAGAAGGAAAAGAGGGGCAATAACGCTTCTTCCTCTTCCCCCCTCTATGAAGTTTTTCTTTGGGACTCACAAAAGGCAAAAGCATCTAGAGTTTTGACACTATGAACAAGTAATCAAGTTAGAGATCAGAGTATTGACACCTCCCAGGGGAGCCGGTCCATCTCTTAACATAAGACTACTGCCTAGGCTCAAACAGAAAAAAATAAAAACCCAACCTAAAGTGCCAACATAGCAAGCCCAACACAACAAAAGCCCACAAGAAGCAAAAACCCTAATATCTAACCCTAAATAAAATAAGACACCGTCACCACCCACAGATATGCCGCCGCCGCCACAAGAAAAGCAAAGGCCATGGGAGCCAAGAGAGGAGATCTGTAGAGTGTGGATTTGGGAGAGCAAGCCCCCATGCGTCATACTCAAATGATCTATCAAGTTGTGGTCAAGATTGACCATAGATTTGCAGAACCCACAAGTGCAGATCCAAGTATGAGATCTGAGAATGGGTTGATGGAGTAGAACAACTGCAGCAATCCAGTGGCAAACCAAATAAATCTTAGGGATAGAGGACTTTTGGATTTTAGATTTTGTGGGAAAAGAGAAATAGGTCGACGGAGTGGGGGAGGGATGAAGGGAAAGAGAGATGAGGGAGATGTGAGGGCTGTAGAACAAAGGGAGAGAAAGATCAGAGGAAGGAGTAGAAGACTTAAGGGTCTGCAACAGAGAATACAAAATAGGAAGGGCTTTCAAAAGGACAAAACGAAAGTGAGAGAAAAGAGCCACACAAAAGGAGGCAGGGTAGCCACACCAAAGGTGGCGGAGCAGCCGCCCCGAAGGGCGGCGGGAGAGACACCAGCTACTCAGAAGAGGGCGGTGGAGATGAGAGAAAACTTAGAGAGAAGGAGGAGCCTCTCTCTCTAACTTTTCCCTAGGATCTATTTGTCATATCTAAGCATCTAGAGTTTTCTCCACTAATTTATGTGATTTATTGTTAATTTCATACTTTCTTTCAATCAAATAATTAATAAATCCGTTTACTTATGATTTGGTGTTAGAGAGTCATAGTTTTTCACAACATAGGCAATGGCTTTTCATCGTTTCAAATCTGAGATTATTAATCTCCAAGTCAAGAATCCCCATTTCATACTTCCATGGAATTAAATTAACTCCCCTCCCCCGAGTATCCCCATTTCTTCATCCACTCCGGGTCCCATCTCCCCCTGGTCGGCACAGACACATGACAACTACTAATTATTTTACACAAAATATACAATTATTATTGTATTTGTATGATGTAATTTCCTTATAACAAATATCAAAATACCAAATTTGTCTATCAAAATTGTGCGTGGCTGAGAGTCGTCCACGTGTGCTTCTTTTACTTGTCAACACCCAGATTTTCCCTTTAGATAGAAGATAGCAAGCCTAATAACATCACCTCTTGCATTAGCCCTCAGCCTACGCAGACAACAGAGTCTTCTCTCTCACACTAGTCCACAGCATTTCCACAGCAACTAACCAAACTGCGCGCCCCGACGTCGTTTTGAAGACCTCCATGGGAATCCAAGCCGGTGGTTGGAGGGCAATGGCTGGCGGCCTAGTCGCGAAGCCGTGCGACTCGTGCAAGAACTGCGCCGCTGCGCTGTTCTGCAGAGCCGACTCGGCTTTCCTCTGCTTGACCTGCGACGCCAAGATCCACGCAGCCAACAAGCTGGCCACGCGCCACGAGCGCGTCTGGATGTGCGAGGTCTGTGAGCAGGCTCCGGCGTCAGTCACGTGCAAGGCCGACGCCGCCGCCCTCTGCGTCACGTGCGACGCCGACATCCACTCCGCCAACCCCCTCGCCCGCCGCCACGACCGGGTCCCGGTCGAGCCGTTCTTCGACTCGGCCGAGTCTATCATCGTCAAGTCGGCCGCCGCCTCCTCTATCGACTCCCTCAATTTCCTACTCCCAAACGGCGCCGTTCCGTCTCACACTAAAGACGAAGAAAACGACGCGGCGTCGACCTGGCTTATCCCCAACTTGAATTGCAACTCGAAGCTCCAGATGGATATTGCTCCGGATATCATCAAGTCCTCTGAGTTGTTCTTCCCCGAAATGGACTCGTTGCTGGAGTTCGATTACCCGAACCCGATCCACCACGATATTTCGGGTTCAGGTACGGACAGTGTTGTTCCGGTTCAACCCGACCCGCTACCGCCCCCTTCACTCAACATCAACCGCGTCTCTGCCGAGCAAAATTGCTTCGACCTCGATTTTTGCAGAAGCAAGCTTTCTTCTTCCTTCAGCTATCCAACTCAGTCGCTCAGCCAAAGCGTACGTAGTTAAATTAAATCAAATATATCTTCTTCCGAAATTTCGGTGTAATTTGAACTCTTCCCTGAATTTCGGAGATTTGTACTGATTTTTTGGACTTTTTCTTTGTTGTTTTCAGGTTTCCTCGTCGTCCATGGAAGTCGGAGTTGTTCCTGACGGAAACTCCATGTCCGATATATCGTATCCTTTCGGCCGAAACGCGAGCCACAACGTTTCGGATCCCAGCGCACAGGTCTCGGCGACCACCGCGAACCAAGTGGCCACACAGCTCATCGGCTCAGGGAGCCTTTATTCGCGAGACATACGGCGTCGTTCCGACGTTCTGATAATGATCCTCTGCTCGATCGGCATAATTTAATTTCTACAGTCTAGCAGTGATTGGTTGGTGATGTCAATTGTAAATCAGTGTCTATCCGATAATTTTGATCGGTGGCTTATGAGCCGTTGAATTTGCATGAGCATGATGCTGCGCTTTTGCAACTGAATATTACCCGCTCAGCACCCAAAAGCCCATTTACCTTTTTCGTTATCTTTTAAATTTCACAGGGGCTTTATAGAAGTCTCTTTTCATGCAAGTAAACCCTTCTTTCTTTTTCACCAAAAGAAAAGTGAAAATAAAATGAAAATAAAAAAGATCATGGATCTGTTTCTGAATTCTGATTGTTTGAAAAGAGCAAGTAATGCGGTTACTGTTTATGTGAATAATATATGCCCTTGTAAATTTTTTTTGTTTTTCTATCCATGCTATGACAACTCAAGGATAATTACTATTCGCATGGGATTAATTTTATTTATACGTATAAGATTAATAAATAAAAAATTCTGAATTTTTTGGTGTTTTTTTCTTCATTGAGGTCAAATCAGGTTGATCTTGCCTTCGGGCCTATCCTATCTTAGTGGCGCCCACCTCCTGTTTGGGTTGGATTTTCTTGGTGGGATGTGTTTTGCTGGCACCCACCTCCTGTTTGGGTTGGATTTTCTTGGTGGGATGTGTTTTGCTAGCCTAGGGGACCTTTTGCCATGGAAAAAGGAACCGCTAGAACTGCTCTTAAATAGGCAAGGCCGGTCCAAAAATTTTCAAGGCCAGGGGCAAGTGTAAAATATTAGGCCTCTATATAGGGACGGATCCATGAATTTTTCTTCCAGGGGTCAACGTCTAAAAAGTTAAAAAAATTCTATACAAAATACACCCATAAATTTTTTTATATTAAAAAACCCTTAATTTATTCAAACTAACAGTAACTAACCAAAATAAAACCTCCTTGGCAAAAAATTAAAAAACAAACCTCAACAACTAATCAAGAAAAACATCAATATTCATTCCATAAAAATAAAACGATAAATTATCATTCACAGTCCCGTTCTCCTGGACCTCTGTAGTCCAAGGAGTTTGTGGTCACTCACCCTTGGATCTAATCTAAGGGTGTAGAAAAACTGATTTAAAAATTCATATAAAAATTTATATTATTTTAACTTACCCAAAATATGTTTTCTGAAAAAAGAAAAAAAAAAAGAAGAAGAAGAACACACGTTGTTTTTCTTCTTTGTTCGTTGCTCATGAAAATCCATGATTGTTCACAGCCTCCTCCATCCAAAAGTGTGACCAACCTATCATTAAAGATCCATGATTGCTCAGAACTAGAGCCCGAATTGACGACACTTTCGCAGTCGAAGATCAACAAGTCTTGATCTTGGGCGTTCTCTGAGGCCGTATCTCTCGTACCCAAATCTGTAAATTGATTGCTGAGTTCATCTTTTGATGATTGTCAGAAGAGAAACCTGTAAAACCATGAGGTTTATTCCCATCGATGAAAACAAAGGATAATCAACCTTGAACACTGCTGCATGCCATTGCAATCAAATCCAGAAGAAAAGTACAGCAGTAGAAGAAAATCTATTGTGGTTTACTATCTGAAAACTAAAGATGAATATGTATGAGAGTTTCGTGAATGTTCAATGACGTGTTGGTCACACTTTTTGGAATCGGCAATGCTAGGTTGTGTTATCATTCATATATAAATCATTGAGAAAACAACATTACAAAACACCTATTAAATCAATCCACCATATTTTTATTAACTATATTAACCAATCCACAAAAGCAAAAACCTTATATTAAAATGCACAAAGATTCAACACTAAAGTAACAAACTTTAAACCTATCAACCTACTAAGAAATATTATAAACATTGCAGGACAGTCAACAATGTAATTTATCTCGGTTACAACTATATCGATGTATTGTGTATTAAAATGCACAAAAACAAATTATAAAATAGAATGAGCTAAAATTATGTAATAAAGAAAAATACATGGAAAGGAAAAAAAATGTAAAATAAAAAGTAAACACAAAGTAAAGAGCAAAAGGAACAAAGACAAAAATATATACAAAAAGAAAAAACTGAAATGAAAAAGAGGAGAAAAAGCAAGATTGGGAAAGAGAAAAAAACAAATTGGAAACAATATGTTTAATATAAATATAAATATAAATAAAAAGAGAAAAACAAATTGGAAACAGTACTGCGTTTGAAATGTCCACTGTATTGGGGATTGTGGGCTTTATCGGGTAGCAGTTCCATTGCTTGCTGTTGCCCCTGTTTATTTTAATATGTTTTAAAAAATTTATATATTTGGAAGGATTTCATTGAGTGATAAATTTTGGTAGGTTTTAAGGTGAGATGTATAAATAACAAATACCATAATAAATCCAACCTCTCCCCCAAAGATTTCATCAAATGCTAGTTTTTCTCTCTGCATATGCCTTACCTTTTCTCTCTGTAGAAGATGAACAGTTTCCTCCATCTGTGAAGGTACGCTCCCTATCTTTTCTTTGATCAAAACCTCATTGGGTTTTCTTTTTCCATGATTTTTCTTCATCGTATATTTTTCTTGTTATTAGGGTATAGTTTGGGGTTATAGGTTTTACTTGTTATTAGGGTTTAGCTTGGGGTTAGGGTTTATGCTTGTTTTTCTTCTCAAATATCTATATACAACTTTATAAGAATTGACTCACTGGACATGAAACTGAAATATAGTAATTGACAGCCTTCCTATAATCGAACAAAAAAACTAGGACAAACTGAGACAATATAGTTTTTCTTCTAAATTTGTTTGTGAACGTATACAGTCGAATGCTATTGGTGATATTCATTGACGAATCACAAGCAAATAGGTTAACCTAGGAAAGAACATAAACCTGGAATCCACCAGAAAATTCTCACCATTTGTATTATTTGATAAAAGATCAGTTGAGAACAACCATACACGAAGGTTGTCTAAATACATCAATCTCACCCATTGGACTGCACTGTGGAGTTATTGAAAGATAAACAATAAATAAACGAAAAGTCGATAATTACCTACAACTTTTAAATGCTCTTTTGGAAGCCCAAATGACCTCAGAAGCCCAAAATCCACCTCATGTCACGGCAAAGGTATCATGCGCCCCAATCGGAGCTCGAACGCCAAATCTGTAAATTCATGTTGCGTCATTTTTCCATTCTTCGCTCCAATTCTTCTTCAATCCATTAAGCCATTTATTCTACATTCATGTATGTATTCAATTGAGTGGGAGAAAAACTGAGACAAATATAAAGGTATCTTATAGTGAATAGTTAAAGGATACATTAGGAAAAACTTTGTAGTGGAATACTATTGGATGCTACAACGTAAGCCAACATAAGATGTGTCTGTTGGGATCTATGGTTGCTGATGTACATTTTTTAGGTACATTAGTTGTAGATTTTACTTCCCCTTCAATTAATTAAGGTATCTGATAGTGAATAGTTAACGGGTAAAACGGTAATTGAACAAATGTAATTATCTTTCCAAAACTCAAAGAAAACTTTTTTCTTTGGGTAATAAAAGGAAACTTGGCATTGTTTTGATAATTATCTTTCAACGTTTGTAGTGTTTTTTGAGTTTTCTATATTTTTAATGCTTTATTTGTGATTGATATAATAAAATTCATAGCTGCACCACTCAAATGGAGTCTGAAAATACACAACAAGTAAATGGAAAAGGGAAGAGCAAACAAGATTATAACGCTTGGAGTGTGGAAGAGAGTAGAATGTTGTTGCAACTCATGGTTGATGCTTGTTAAGCTCATAATTTCATACATATACATGCCCTATTTACTTACTTCTTTTGCTTAGTTTCTTAGATTTCTAAGTTATTTGCCTCCTTTTGTGTGTTTTGTAGGCAAATAGAGCAAGAGAGCATAATTCATGCAATTCAAGCATGTTAAGGCCTAATTTGGATGAATGGATGAAGAGCTTAAAAGACAAACTCATTTTGGCTACAGCCCCCTGCCAGTCCAGTTCCCAAAGATTTCATCAAATGCTAGTTTTTCTCTCTGCATATGCCTTACCTTTTCTCTCTGTAGAAGATGAACAGTTTCCTCCATCTGTGAAGGTACGCTCCCTATCTTTTCTTTGATCAAAACCTCATTGGGTTTTCTTTTTCCATGATTTTTCTTCATCGTATATTTTTCTTGTTATTAGGGTATAGTTTGGGGTTATAGGTTTTACTTGTTATTAGGGTTTAGCTTGGGGTTAGGGTTTATGCTTGTTTTTCTTCTCAAATATCTATATACAACTTTATAAGAGTTGACTCACTGGATAGGAAACTGAAATATAGTAATTGACAGCCTTCCTATAATCGAACAAAAAAACTAGGACAAACTGAGACAATATAGTTTTTCTTCTAAATTTGTTTGTGAACGTATACAGTCGAATGCTATTGGTGATATTCATTGACGAATCACAAGCAAATAGGTTAACCTAGGAAAGAACATAAACCTGGAATCCACCAGAAAATTCTCACCATTTGTATTATTTGATAAAAGATCAGTTGAGAACAACCATACACGAAGGTTGTCTAAATACATCAATCTCACCCATTGGACTGCACTGTGGAGTTATTGAAAGATAAACAATAAATAAACGAAAAGTCGAAAATTTCCTACAACTTTTAAATGCTCTTTTGGAAGCCCAAATGACCTAAGAAGCCCAAAATCCACCTTATGTCACGGCAAAGGTGTCATGCGCCCCAATCGGAGCTCGAACGCCAAATCTGTAAATTCATGTTGCGTCATTTTTCCATTCTTCGCTCCAATTCTTCTTCAATCTATTAAGCCATTTATTCTACATTCATGTATGTATTCAATTGAGTGGGAGAAAAACTGAGACAAATATAAAGGTATCTGATAGTGAATAGTTAAAGGATACATTAGGAAAAACTTTGCAGTGGAATACTATTGGATGCTACAACGTAAGCCAACATAAGATGTGCCTGTTGGGATCTATGGTTGCTGATGTACATTTTTTAGGTACATTAGTTGTAGATTTTACTTTCCCTTCAATTAATTAAGGTATCTGATAGTGAATAGTTAACGGGTAAAACGGTAATTGAACAAATGTAATTATCTTTCCAAAACTCAAAGAAAACTTTTTTCTTTGGGTAATAAAAGGAAACTTGGCATTGTTTTGATAATTATCTTTCAACGTTTGTAGTGTTTTTTGAGTTTTCTATATTTTTAATGCTTTATTTGTGATTGATATAATAAAATTCATAGCTGCACCACTCAAATGGAGTCTGAAAATACACAACAAGTAAATGGAAAAGGGAAGAGCAAACAAGATTATAACGCTTGGAGTGTGGAAGAGAGTAG